TGCAAATTGTAATCTCAATCATAGTGCCAATTCAGCTCTTTCCAGAAATAGAAAGAAGAACCTTAAAATTCATATGGATGTAGAAAGTACCTCAGATATGCAGGGCAATCCTGAGCAATAGGAAGGAACACTTCTGGAGGAATCACAACACATGATTTCAAGTTATACTACAGACCCATAGTAACAAAACAGCATGATACTGGCAGAAAAGAGACACACAGATCACTGAGATTAGATGACCTAAATATAAATCCACACAACTACAGTCACCTGACTTTTGACAAAGAAGCCAAAACACACATTGGAGAAAAGACAGCCCCTTTAACAAATGGTACTGGGGAAACTTAGTTAGCTTTTCATGACTTTTGGGGGGGCATTTTGTTGTGACCCTCAGGGAATAAACTTTGAATGCAATGTCTCCAACAGAAAAGGGATTGTGGACATTTCCTGGCTGCTTCATAAATGAGTGTCTATGTATTTCTGGGGAAGGACCATGTTCTATTATTTCATTTTAGTTTTGTTCAGGTAACTACGAAGCCTCATCTTCAGGTGTCCCCAGGAAGTTTGCTTTTTTGTGCACATCTGTTCTATTTTTGTGGGTACTTTTGAACCAAATTTACAAGTATTTTTCACTGAAGCATGTTCACAATGGCTTGCGTGTATATCAGCGCAAGTCACTTAATGAAAGATTTTACTTTGAAAATTTGACCCTGCAAAGTTACATCGTTGAAGAGATGTAACCTATTGGAATAAGCATGAGAGGGAGGCTCAGGCAGTGAGAAAGCCTGTGTGACAGAGGTGAGCACTACAAGATGCAGCAAATGCTGCTGGAAGAGAGATCCCAATCAGCCCAGCTGCAAGAGCTGCATCTTCTGTCCGACTGAACAACTTTGAGGAGTGTGCTTATAATAAACACACGTAACAGATTGTTTCCCTCAGTGTAGGACCATGAGAAAGGAGGAAGACACCCTTCTTGACGGGTGAGGAAATGAGGATTGGGTCAGGTTTAGGTTTGCTTACACACCAAGCTCAGAACAATGATGTGCCAACCAGCTTTACATTACTGAGGCAAAACACTTAAGGAAAACAACTTAAGGGAGGAAGTATTTATTGTGCTCATAGGTTCTGAGGCTTCAGTCCACTGTCAGCTGACTTCATTTCTTCTGAGCCTGAGGAGGTGGAACAGTGAGTTAGGCAGGTGTGGCAGAGCAGGGCTGCTCACCTCATGATAGCCAGGAAGCAGAAAGAAGACAAGAGATGGAGTTAGTACCCCAAGAATACCCTAACAAGACAAGCCCCTTGGTCATCTGTTTCCTCAAATCAGCCTCCTGCACCCAATGGCCCATCAATGAAGTTAGTAACCATTGTGATCCCATCACCTCTCAGCAGTGGGAACTGAGCATTCAAGACATGAGCCTGCTGTGATATCTTGCTTGTACAAATAAAACCTGTCGGAAGGTCAGAGAATAGAGTGTGCCACTAACTAACCATAGAGGTCTGGAGGTCTGTATAGACAGACAGGAAGTAAGGTAACTGGGGGGGGAAACAGGATATAAGCAGGGAGAAACAGGAACTTGCTCTCTAGTCTGTTGAGACACTAAGGAGGTAAGGTGTAGCAGTGGCTTGCTCCTTCTTTTCTCTAAACTCTCAGCATTTTTCTCTATTTCTGACTCCAGGTGTTTATTATTTAGACTGATTAAGACCTATTTTTACATGAACCCTTAAAGGGACAGTTTGTCTTCCAAACTACAAGTTGTTTCCTAACTTTGTTTCATATTGGTACCACCAAGGATCTATCTATCAGTTCCTAACTCCAACCTTCATCTCTTGGTACCACCTGGGACCTGTCTATCAGTTCCTAGCTCCAACCTTCATCTCTTAGCCTTTGGGGGGTCTTCAGGGAATACTAAAATTTGGTAAAGTTCAGTAAACATGGAGGTATGCTCCTGATTGTGCAACTACCTGTGTATGCCTGAAACTTTCCCTTGAGTGAAGCAGATTAAAGGGGAGATGGTAGTGTTGTCTTTGAGGTTCTTGGCAGTTAAGCATGCAGTGAACACCACTGAGTGTGTGGTTAATGGTTAAGAGCACTGGCTGCTCTTCCAAAAGGCCTGGGTTCAATTCCTAGGACTCACATGGCAGCTCACAACTGTCTGGAACTCCAATTCCAGGAAATGAGACACCCTCACACAGAAACACATTCAGTCAAAACACCAATGCACATGAAAGAATAAATAAATCGTTAAGAAAAAATCCCATTCATTTAAAATTACTTATGTGTCTGTGTGTGTGTATGAGCATATGAATGCAGTCCTCATGAAGGCTAGTAGAGGGTGTTGAATCCCTTGGAGCTGGAATTACAGGTGGATGCTGGGAACTGAATTATGACCCTTTGCAAGTGCTCCCTCTAGCACACAATAACCTGTTAGGTACTTTAAAACAAAATCCAGAAATGGCTTTGGATATGTGAGATAATGTAGACAACACATTGTTTTAAAGTAGAGACCTGAGCATACACAGACCTTTGTAAGCATGGGGGTCCTGGAGAGGGAGGAAGGAATGAGTGTAGTCAATAAGCTTTTATCAACAAAAATATTTACTTTGCATTACTTTTTAATGTTCTAGCTATTTGAGAAGTGAGGAGGCAGAAGAGAAGGAAGCAGGAAAGAGGGAAGAATATGAGGAGGGGATGAGGATAAAAAAGAGAAGAAGAAGTAGGTGGGGATGAGGAGAAGAAAAAGTAGAGGGAGCAAGAGGGTAAAATGAAGGGCACAACGCTCCCTACAGTACCAACACAGTGTATGTGTGGCCTCCCACTATCGGTGGCAGAGTCTTCTATGTTATTAACTTCATGCTTAGCCCCAACTGGCCACTTGTCATCATTAAAGCATCACATGGTAAGTGGCACATGCGAGGTGAGTAACACATAGTGCTGCTTTTAATAGTCGCATCTCATTTGCTTTAGCTGAGATGAATCTCAATACAAAGTCAGTCACATCAGACACCTTGCTGTAGTTCCTCCCACGACATGCCTGTCTATATGCCACAAGCTTCTGTCTCTAGGAAAGTCGTGTGAAGTTCACAAAAATGGACATGACAAAGGACTGACCATACAAGACAGAAGCATCCTAGTGGATTATGGGGCATAGTCACTCTGACACTTTGTAAACTTCAAACCTCTTGTCTATTAAGGCTGCCTAAGGGCGTGAAAGTAATCCTGTGTATTTGCACATTTGTGTACAAGATAGCATTGTAAACAATACACAGGTATCACTAGACTTTGTTGCCCATATTGAGGAATTCATTTTTAAGAAAGGAGTTATTGATATTCTTTGTAATTAATGAAATGACTGAGATAAAATACTCTGCATAAAACCATTAGCTGAGGGTTGGGGATATAGCTCAATGGGGAAACCCTTGTTTAATGTTTGAGAGGCCCTGGGTTCAATCCAGAATACATAACTAAAAGTAGTCTTGTTTTCCTAGAGATCAGCAGTTGTCAATGTCCACATATTTCTGATTTCACTTTTTTTTTTGTAAAAAGGACTGAATCCAGACCCTATCTTGGGGGATATTGGTCCTTGCACCTAGTGAGGTCAATGGAAATGATAGTCGCTCTAAAAGGCAAGGAGGGTTCTCAGAGACAGGAAAACAAGCAGAACTTGATCAGACCCAAACTGTAATATCAGTCAAGTTGAGAAATTCTTTCTGATAGGATGCTCGGGATACAGCAGAACCACTGACAGGAATTGCCTGCACCTCTAACTGACATCTGTGTAGTGTTGTGAATTTGGGTTCCTATAAAACATGAGGGATGAACAATGAGGAATGAACAATAGTCTAACACTTAAAAATTACATTTCATTTGTCAGAGAAATGAGAGAACACTTCTGTGGCCACATTGGTGAACTTTTCCCCCTCACTTCTCAGGTCCTCTCACCCCTCTCTGACTTCATCCTGGCTGAGAAGACAGTGACCATCCTGGATGACCATGTCACCATTGCAGGGCTGGGCATGTAACTGGTGGTTGGATTGGCCCTTTCCCTGAAACCTCACAGGGCAGACAAGAGGACCATTGTTTACACGTTACTGCCCAGAGTGTCCTTCAAGCCCCACAGCAAGTGAGCTTCCCAGGGGCACCTTGCTTTGTTCATGAAGTCAACTCTCCTCTTAGTTATGGTATCCTATGTAGGAGTTCAGTAGCATTCAGTAGCGCCAAGCCTGAGGAATCATGAAACTCCACCCTGCTCAGTATCCAACTCTCTTTTAAATTTTTAATAGAATTTCACATATGTGTACTGCATTTATATCGTCTCCACCCTTCTATCCCCCTCCAACTCTCCCTGTGCCCCCCAATTTCAAGTTCATGACCTCTTCTTCCTTAGTAACTATATATCATAATATAATAAAATAAGCATGTATGTAACAATGAGTTCACACAGACATACATATTTGTTGTAGAATATTATTTTAAGATGTGTTTCATTTGTTTATGCTGTGGAATTTTTGTTTAATGATGTAAGGATGCGTTGCAGTCTTTTATGTTGCATTTGTTTAACTCTGTGAAGCAGTGTTACTTTGCCTGTCTAGAACACCTGATTGGTCTAATAAAGAGCTGAATGGCCAATAGCAAGGCTGGAGAAAGGATAGGTGGGGCTGGAAGACTGAGAGAGTAAATAGAAGGAGAAATCTGGCAAGGAAAGATTGAGGAGCAAGAAAAGGAGGAGAGGGGTATGCCAGGGGCCAGCCAGCCAGCCAGCCACTCAGCCAGACATAGAATAAGAAGGAAAGTAAAAATAAACAGAAGTAGAGAAATGTAAAAGCCCAGAGACAAAAGGTAGGCAGGATAATTTAAGGTAAGAAAATCTGGCCAGAAACAAGCCAAGCTAAGGCCGGGTATTTGGTAGTAAGACTAAGTCTCTGTGTGTGATTATTTGGGAACTGGGTGGCAAGCCCCCAAAGAGCCAAAGAGTAAAAATCAAACAGCTAAACATGTTCTACTGAGTCCATTTATTATTGTTCATATGTACATGTATCCATAGCTGACCCCTTGATATCAATAACATGTCAGAAGGGTTATCCCTGGAGGAGACAGACTCTCCCTGTCTTAGCAGCCATTAAATTGACCATGTCTCTTCATCAAGAGCTGGAGACTTATGAGCTTTCTCCATCTATGTTGGTATGTCAACTTAGTTGTCCTTGTGCTTGTCTTGCTTAGGTGACCATATTGTTGGATCCCATGTGTGCAGCTTCTTGTTGTGTAGAAAATACTGTCAAGCAGCAGGCCTTCCTGTTCTCTGACTCATTCCATTTCCTCTTCCAAGATTTTCTGAGCTTTAGATGTAGGGGTTGCATTGTAGATGCATCAGTAGGGGCTGAGCGCCCCAGAGTCACTCTTTAAGAAAATATCTGAGGCTCACACATTTTTCCTTTGGTACTGTTTTACAAACTGATACATGGACATGTGTCATTTATTTCCCAGCCAGTCTGTATGTGCTATACAAGCTGAACACATGTTGGTTCTTGTCTGAAGTAACGTATATTGACACTTGGACAATCTACTTCACCTGCCTAAACAAGCGTAGCCAATGGGCACACAACTTTAAAGTTCATGTTTACTGTTGTCAGCCTTAAACCCCTGCTCTGTTTTTAAGCTTGTAGCAAATCCCCCAGAATTACACCAAGGTCATTGTGCTTTTAAGCCTGCCAGTTTCCCATAATGCACCTTTACTCAGATACTCCAAACAGCCCATCTTCCTAATGAAGAATGCTGGACACGACATCATCTTGAACAAGAGCCCCGATTAACTGCACCTGAAATTGATTCAGAAGCATCATGTGATATTTTAAATTCCTTTCAGAAATATCAAGGTCAAATTCTGTTATATGACACTCAATCTGCTAATATACAGACGGCTGCACTCATTAAAGTGTTTCAGTCCTACTGCACACCACTGGGGTCACGGCACATTAGCCATGCAATCTGAACACGGGGCAGATCTTGTTACAAAAATCTAGAACCCAGGGGGCCGTTTTTTATGGCTTGCATCTTGAAGACATATTTTATAGGAAAAACACATTTGTGTCTACATTTATAAATCTGAAGGAAGCCAGTTGTTCATCATGCTTAAGTTATGGGGCTTATTTTCCTCAGGAGGCAACTTAGTTCTTGAATGAGGGGACTTCTTTCATAATTGTTAAATTAACATTTATTATTGACTCATTGTGTGCACATACTTTCACCACAGAACATGTGTGTGATTTGTGGAGGTCAGAGAATATCCATGCAAGTCAGTTCTCTGCAGAGCTCAGGTGGCAGAGACTGGAGAATGATAAATTCAAGGTCATCCTTGGCTAATAGGGAGTTCACAGACAAAGACTTTGAGAGAGAGAGACAGACAGACAGACAGACAGACAGATAGATAGACAGACAGAGATACAGAGAGACAGAGAGAAAGAGAGAGTCAGAGAGATTTGGAGAGAAAATAGACTTAAAGTATAAATGTTATTAGTAATACAAGGATGTCTTTCAGATAATCTAGGATAGATTCTATGGACAACAGATAGCAACCATCTTGGTTGACCTCAGGAACCCAGGGAAGCTGGGATTTAAAAAGTGGCTCCAATTGTGACCTTCTCACACACGTGTCTATACCAGCAGTCACCTGATGGACACACTCTCCGTCAATCACCTACAGAGCAAGAAGGTTGGATGAAGATGTGGGAGATTTGACTCACATGGGGGTATCAAGCGAAAGATAGCTCTGCTGTGCTTTTATTTTATACAGTTTACTATAGGGACAGTAGAGTAGATATTCATCTATCTCAATACCATCTGGTTTTTCTTACCTTTCTGGTGTGTGTGTGTGTGTGTGTGTGTGTGTGTGTGTTTGTGTGTGTGTGTGTGATTACATATGTGTGCATACATACATGTGGAAGCCAGATTGCAGAATCAGGTATCATCCTTAGGAGGCATCCACACTGTTTTCTGTAAGGCAAGGTCTCTCACTGGCCCATCGTGTACCAGTTAAGTTGACTGACCAGTAAGGCCCAAGGATCCATCTGTCTCCACCTCACCAAAGCTGGAATTACTGCCGTAAACTTTCATGTCTGGCTTTTTAAAAAATAATCTTGGATCTTGGAATGAAACTCAAGTCTTCAGCTGGAAAAAGCACCTTGCCAAGCAACCCACATCCCCAAACCAAGATCACCTTTTTGTATATTAGGGTTTTGTGAGAGAATGAGTACATTTCTCCTTTCTTGTGATTTTTCCTAGGAAGCTGCCTGGTGCTTGTTTTTCATTACATCAGCTACTTTTCATAACTGCGACCTAAATACCTAGCAGAAACCACTTAAGGAAGCATATTGGGCCTCAGGGTAGGGAAAGTATGGTGGCAGGCGCCTCTGGCATTAGGTGTCACATGGTAGTGAGCCACAGAGCAGAGAGTGGAGAACCAGAACCATGGTGTGGATGTCACTACTAAAGCCCCTCTACTCATCTGCCAGTGGGGCTTTACCTCCTTAATGTTTAAAGCCTCCCAGAAAATCACCCACCATGGGAAATAAACATTCAAAGCAGAGGAAGCATCTTAAAATTAAGCCATAACATTCACTTTCACCAACTCGTTAAGGCATTTAGATTTCTGATGCTGAACATTGACTAGAACATGAGTTGGGTTTTTTTTACCCCATTAGGAAATCAACATCTCCAAGGGTTTAGAAAGCAATGGGGAAGGAAAAGCTAAGTGTGTCTAAATGCACGATCTGCTCATCTTCTGAGAGTCTGGATGAATTTACTGGCCTCACACTCAAAACCCTGAAGAACAAATGGTTTTTGAATCAGCAAGCCCATGTTTTGTCAAGACTAAAGTCAAGAACAAAGACACTGGACACAGTCAGCACGCTCCTGTAACAGGTTCCTTTGGTCTCAGGAACCGAATAGCAAGTAGCACCCCATCTTGGTCAGTGTCTCTGCAAAGGATGGCTGTGTTTGGAGGGGTAGTGGAAGGGGAGAAGACTGTGCCACATTGAGACCCTCACCCACTTTATAAAGTACTACTGGACAATATCTGTGCCGATTATTGAGTATATTATTCAAGGATTTATTTATTTAGAACAAGATCTCTTGCAGCCCAGACTGACCTCCAACACTTCATGTAACTGAGAATGACTTTGAACTCCTGATCCTCCTGCCTTCATCTCCAACTGTTGGGATTGCACACATGAACCATCATGCCTGGTTTATTCATGCTGGAGGTAGAGCTCAGGGTTTCCTGCATCCAAACAATGCACTTTGCACTACCTGAGCTATCACCCAAGCCCACGTTTTATTCTGTAACCCCAGAGAGAGTGTGATGACAGAGACCCATCTAGCCTGCAACAGACTTCAGGCAGGTCCAACCTGCAGTCCAAAGTCCTTCCTGTATCCCAGGAGAGTTGTGGATGTAGGCCAGTGCATTTATAGACAACAAGGCAAGTTGTAGTGTCCAGAGGATGGGTATTCTGGAGACTTTACTGCTGATCCTCTATCAAAAGCTATGTGAAGTATCTAAGTATTGATGACACACTGCTTCATCCCAAGGCTAATACTGTTCAAGAACAAATGCTTGAACTACAGAGATGGCTCAGTCTGTAAAGGAATGTTTCACCAATAAAGGCTCAGTACAGGGTTGCTTATTGTCAGTGATGACCTGAGTTTGAGCACTATGACCGGCATTGTGGAAAGAGAGTAAACTTGGGCAAGTTGTCATCTGACTGCCATTTGAGCAGCATAGCATGTAGCACATATGCACGTGCTCATGCACATACACACACACACACACACACAGAGAGAGAGAGAGAGAGAGAGAGAGAGAGAGAGAGAGAGAGAGAGAGAGAGAGAGAGAGAGAGAACATGTACTTTTTAAATCCTTGGAGAGAAGGCTCAATTGTTAATATCACTTACTGCTCTTGAAGGGGTTCCGGCGCCTACACCATGGCTCTCAAGCATCTATTAACTACATTTCTAGGGGTTTCGACACCCTCTTCTGGCCTTTGTATGTAGTGCACAGGCTTTCATGCATAACAGGCAAGAATAATAGGCTTAATGTGCTTTTTTAAAAACAAATTAAAGAATAGATTATTGATGCTTTGGTATCGTTTTCTACAGGGTTGGATTACAGAAGAGCCCATCTTTTGAAGATGGAAGAATTAAGTTAGTTGATTCTCACAAACTGCTGGCTTTTAGGAAAACCCTTTTGCTTCTACATTGTGGGGGCTTCATGTCATCTATATCTCTCAGTGCTTACTGACTCCCCCCCAAAGATCACATTCACCCCGCCCCCCCCAGCACATCCAACCTTAGGGATGTCCGTGCACACAGGAGACTGTTCCACTTCTACTTTTAAAAATTCTAAGTAGCTCCCCAGACGGAGGGATAGGCACCCAGCCATTAGGAGCAGCTCAGTCTTCTCAAATACTGCCATCCACTTAAGTGGCTGTTAGGCTTTATAGAACAGAAAGTCTTTCCTCTCTAATTCATTTTCTGTTTACACAACAGGATAGACACTTCATCCTCTCATTCCAGCTTTGATTCTGCTTCGGAAATCAGATATCCAGCCTCAGGCAGATATGGTCTCCCATTAGGACCCCATGCTGGGGAATTCATTGTCACAAATATGCTTGATTTCCTGGGCTGGTAAGTCATTCTAACATCAGCACCAAACAGCATCATCAACAACAAAAGCACTTATTTATGATGATATCTGGGAAAGCTTTCTGCTTTTCTTCTCCAATTTTCTCCCCTCAGGGTGTTTACACCGTGGCTCTTTATAGACCGGGCAACGGAGTTGGTAGGAGAAATCATAAAAAGATCTCTGCCGCTGTTATTTGCTTCGTGACAAGGCTAGCGTCCAAGGAGCTGCACACAAACGGCTCTAATCTGGGCCACCTTGTTTCTTGATTAGTGTTTGGCTAAAGGAAACACAAGCTCAGCTTCTAAAGCCGACTTTGACGGTGACTCTCAGAAGCAAGTTGTCTCTCCACAGTGTCCTTTGCCTCACTCCGAAAGTTAGGACACGTACAGTGTCATAACTCACGATTCCATGCTAAAAATACTGCTTTTACATGTGAAATTCCCTCTCTAAAAGAATGCGTGCACTTGACTTTATTTAATAAACAAAACAAAAACAAAACAAGCAAGCAAAAAGAAAATTTTTTCAAGAGCCTGAGTGGAATGGCTCAGTGGTTGAGAGTTCCACTAAGCGTGCACATTGGGCAGCTCACATCTGCCTGTAACTCCAATTCCAGGGGATCCAGCGCCCTCTTCTGTCCTCTGCAGTCACTGCACTCGCATGCGCATAGCCACTCACAAATAACACACACATAAGTAAATAAAAAGAAATCATTTTAAACACACAGACATACACACACCCCTCAGGCCAAACTAAGCCCTTTTAAGGACTTTACTTTGTTTCTGATACACATAAATACAACTTGTTATTTTCCAAAAACGGCATTTTCTTCTGGCCAGCTCCTGTGAATTCTAGCTGCTTTCTTGCCAGAGATAAACGTGGAGATGTGCTATGACCCGACCTTGTAGTTGCAGGTGCTATAGTTGGCACTCGGGGCGACAAACATGTGCTTGCTATGCAGGGAGCATATTAAAATGGCCGATACAAATTTTAACATCTCTGATTTCTGTAGTCGGCACTGTTCAGATGAAAACCTTGTTATTTGGGCAGCTGCCTATAGTTAGGTTTTATTGCTATGATTAACATAATAACAAAAACCGACTTGGAAAGGAAAGAGTTTATAGGCTTACAAATCCACAGCATAGTCCAGCATGAAGAGAAGCCAAGGCAGGAGCTCAAAGCAGGAACGGAAGCAGGGTCTGTGAAGGCAACCTGCTTAGTATTTTGCTCTTCATGGCTTACTCAGTTTGCTTTCTTATAGCACCCAGGACTTCCTTTCTAGGGATGACACCCTGTACCATAAACTGGGCCCTCCCACATTAACTGTCAATCGAGAAAGTGTTCCACAGACCAATCTGACCGAAGCATTTTCTCAACTGAGGAAATCTTCCCAAACTGAGTTCTGTTCCCAAAGGGCTGTAGCTCTTGTCAAGCCAATCATCACAATAGAGGATCCTGGTTTCGTCTTTACTGTTACTGTAGACCTAGTGTCCTGCAGAGGTGTGGACTCCAAAATTTTGCTTCACAGTAGAAGCTAGATTTATGTGTCACATATGTGTACTCATATGTAGCAGTGATGCCAATTGTCTCTTGTATTCTGAATGCATTTATCTCTCGCAAGTATAAAGTTCAGGAAAACACTTTACCAAGCTAGTGCCCTCCAAACCAGAATTACCAATGATGCTTATTTTGTATATTCTGTGTTCATGAGTATTCTGAACTGTATCATAACTATCATATTTACTAGGTTAATCATAGATACCCTAATTCAACATACTAGCATAAAGAGTGCTTTTCACAGTTCACCAGTTACCTAAACAACACAACTATAAAACTACTTTATTAGAAAAAATAATTTTGTCTATTTATATATAGGTGTTGCTTATTGTTGACAAATTAGGCTGTCACTTAATCTGAACTAAATTCAAATATAGCATGTTGCTGTCTATTACAGCTATTGCCTTAAAATTCTGTATATGATAAAAAGCACCTAGTCTGATTCAGCACTAGCTGAGGTTCCAGAAAGTCCTGGTGTGGTTGTTCTACAATGTTCTGAGTCTTCAGTCATTGACATTTTGTGTATTTCTTTGAAGAATTTATAATCAAACTTGTGGAAAATCTGCAAGTATTTATCATTGTTGGTTGTGTTCTGTATTTTCTTTGTAAAACTTTGTGGATGTCTTTTTTTTTTTTCTTGTAAGTTTAACTTCTAACAAAATGACCTGATCAAGTTTGTTTGTTTGCTTTTTGAGACAGAGTTTCTCTGAATGCCATGGCTGTCCTGGAACTCAGCGAGACCTTCCTGCCTCTCCCTCTAGGGTGCTAGGTTTAAAGGCATGTGCCACCACCACCCAGCCCTAAGCAGTATTTTTATGATGCCAGGAATCCCAAGGGCAAGGCATCAGAATTAAACTTAGAAATAGATCCCAGATAAATCTGGTCTATGATTCCTTTATGCTCTCTCTTATTTACTTAAATTTGGCAAGAATGGGTTGTATTAGCACTGATTCTTTGACATCTGTCAGTTCTCTTCCAGTGTTGGATCATATGAGACCAGCCAGGATATATGTCATCTCATGAAGAGGGATAATCAATATCAAACCACTAGATGGTTAATCAGAGAAAATTGTTGAGAGACAAGGGTGTGGGTGAATTGTCAGAATCAACATGAATTAATGGTGGGCATGGTGTGCACTCTTATAATCCCAGCCCACAGGAAACTGAGTCAGGAGAATTACTATGAAGATGAAGCCAGCCTCGACTATGTAGCCAAATCATCTCCATGCCAACAACTGACAAACACTTCAGGAGATTCTGAATCTTGACTAGTAGTATCAATGATGTTACAATAAACACAGGATAATCAAGACTTCTTCAATGATCTGATTTTGTTTCCTTTGAATAAACATACAGCCATGAAACAGGATCAAAAAAAAACTTTTCTGTTTTGGAAGGAGCCCCTACACTGTTTCCATAAAGCCAATACTAATTCACCTTTCTGTCAGCAATGTGAGAGGGCTCCCCTCTCCACATCCTTGCCATCTTTTTTAAATATCCGTTCTAGCAATATGAGGTTCTAATTTAAAATTTCCCAATCGTAAATGATGCTGAACATTTTTTCATATGTCTCTACCTAGTTGTATGTCCTACTCGGAAACAAAAATGCCTACTCTAGTCCTTTGTCCATTTTTAAATTGGTTTAAATAGTTCCTTACTGTTTTGAGTTCTTTGCATGTTGGGACAGCAATAATGAAATGAAAAATGTATGTAGCGCCCAGTGGAGAGAAGTGAGAATACAAAATAAATAAAGATATATTCTTACCTTCAGAAGATCCAGCCTCGCAGAGGGGACATATACAAACAAAATATGTAGTCATTAGCAAACAGTTGGAGATCCATATGGGCAGGTAAAAACTAAGAACAAGAAAAAGACATTTTAGTTCTCCTTTGTATAAAAGGGACAGAAACTCTCTTTTTTGGTTGGAGTGTTCACTTTGGAAAATCTACTTGTGAATTTTCTCTGCTTCTTTGTGTTGTAAGTGAATCTTTTGAAAAGTTAATAAGCCTTTTTTTCTGGCGTTAAAATCAAACAAAGTTTACTCAAGGACCTGGGATCCTTCTCCGGGATATAAGCACAAAAGACATGAGACACTATGTCTTCCACAAAGGTGCCTGGGTTCTGCTGGCATCCACGTGCAGAATGAGTCTTGTAAAGAGAGGACACAGTCATTTTTGCCCTCGGATAAAGGCGATTTGCAAATGCAGAGAGATATCCTAAATGCCCAGCAAACTTATGAAGGACAATGTGAGCCAGGGTGCATCAGGTTTTCTAGCTTAGGGATTGACTGTCTGCCACCTTATTTGCATATTGATTGATGGGTAGATGCACAGCAGTCTAGACCCGAGAAATCATGCAGTGTCCTGGCTCCCTTTTGCTTTTATTTTGAGACATTCTTACTAAGTCATCCATGTTGGTCTTGAACTTCTTTTGTACCTGAGGCAAGTTTGGAACTACAGGCTGAAGCAATCCTCCTGCCTCAGGCTCCCAAGTAGATGCAATGACAGATCTGTGTCTCTGGGCCCCATTATCTTGAGTTGATACATGTGTCAGGCTGTACCAGCATAGCTGTGGATTGAGATACCTCTGTCTCTGTTCTCTCGAATATGTCCCTCAAGGGACATTATCGTCAATTGTTTTCTTTCTCCTGTGTCTATGGGAGGGTTCTCTTGGTGAGCAGATTAGACTTCAGATGTATTTGACTGTATGTCCCCAGGAGTTCTTGTGAGTTCTAGGAGAAAGACATACCCACTGGTGATTTTCGTTTCAGAACCCCAAGATAACCGGAGATGCAGACAACATCTTCTCAGTGATGCCCATGACATCCCCTCCCATCACTCTCCAATGTTCTCAGAGGTGGCAAGAGTGCAGAGCTCAGTAGTTTTGGATCCTCTGCATATGGCTGCCTATATGGGAGAATGAGATATGCTATTCCCCCAATATGTTCAGTGTAACTCTATTCCATTTTTATAGATAAATGTCTTCACCAATTGCCTGACAGTATCTGAGGGCATCTAGGCAAGTCTCAGTATGTAATTCCCCATACGGTTACCTATAGGAAGGATCTGCTTAAACATTTTATCCCTTCATTTGGGAGATTTTGAAAGTACCAAGGCTTATAAACTTAGGAAAATATCCAAGCCTTTGTATTCATCAAATGTGGTCAAGAAGAGATAGAGAGGTCCTAACTTGCTGTACTGGTCCCCAGGGCAAACAGGGAGCCTGCTGAGCAGAAGTCTATTATAAACCTTGCAGGAGCTGGGACTAGACTGCAAACTCATGAGTCAGGGATGGTACATATATCAATCACATAAAAGAAGATAAAACTATCCAGACAGGATAAAGAGGTTCTCAAAGGGGAAAACAAGAGAGGGAGGTCTGTAGAGGTTTTAGACTGCTATTAAGTGTACTAAGGAGGAGAGGCAGGGGAGATAGCACAGAGGTTAAGAGTACTTGTTGCTCTTGCAGAGGGCCTGAGTTTGGTTCTCAGCACCAACATTAGGAGGCTCACAACGACCCATAACTCCAGTTCCAAGGAATCCGATGCCCTCTTCTGACCTCTTTGGGCATTGCACTCACATACATGGCATAAACACACATATATAAATAAAGTCTTTAAAAATCAAGATGACTTAGTACAGATTCCATCAGGGAAGAAAATAATGACAAAAATAAGAAAACTGCATCATATTTAATTTTTTTGCAGTCTTTACATGATCTATCCAGAAAGAAATTTTGCCCATGCTATAGGCAGTCTCTTTTCCCTAAGGATCAGGTCTTTGGCTATGCAGAAGCTTTTTAATTTCATATAATCGCATTTGTCAATTCAAGACATAAAGCTGTAAACACCAGCGGTTTATCTCTGTGGTTTCAGCTAAAGGATGGCAAGGGAATACAAACAGTGGCTTTCAATCCATCTGTCTCACAAATGGAAAGTAGAAAAGAGAACCTTTGAAAGGCGTGAGCTGATGAGACCTGAAAAACGACAAGTGTGCCCCATTTCTGGGAAAATGTCTGCCTTCTAAACTCTCCTTGCTCTCCATAACTAGTTCCCAAGAGGCAAGAGTCTTTGGACCATAGCTGCACTCATATGTCCACGGGAAGCAATAAGTGCATACACAATGCATCTAGTGACTCCAGATCACCAGGTCTAGGACAGGGTGAAATCTCTGTCAATGCCAGCCTTTCCTTGAGCCCACCAATAGAAGTAATATTGAATGAAGCTTGGTACACACGAAAGCTCTACCTGAAAGCCCTGCTACTAGCCATTCATGCCGCCATGGTAAAATTATTAATCTTTCTGTTTGCTCTCTTTGTTTCTCTTTTATTATTGTCTCTTCTGTGTGTTCCATTCTCTGTTGTTCTGTTTGTGTCTTTCTTATCCTTGACCTCTTTCTCACAGTCTTGCTCTCTTTCTGTCTGTCTCAATAGACAGACAGACAGACAGACAGACAGGTATATTGCTAGTTAATTATACTGTTACTGGTTAATTTGAGATTCATCTCAGCCTTTGGGTGAGGAAACAACAAAATCACATAGGGCATGGCCTCTGAGCTTGCCTATGATGGATTTTCTTATTTGAATTAAATGTGGTTTAAAAATTAATAATAAAGACCCACCCTAAATGTAGGCAGCACCATTTCACAGGCCTAATTCTGAACTGAGTATAAAGGATAGAAGGAACAAAGCAGCAAAAATGCATTCATCCTGCACTCTCCTCTCTGATTCTTTCTTTGGATACAGCGTGACTCACTACCCCAAGTTCCTGCTAACTACATAAATTGACATGCAGCCTGGGAAAGAAGTGTAGCTCGTATTCTTAGCAGGTAACCTTCAATATTGCGGCAGGGTCATCATAGACTAACTACACTGATTCTTTATCTTTTGAAGATGTGTTTCTAAATTTACATGTGTGGGGATGTATGTGCACATGAGTGCAGGATCAGCAGAGTCCAGAGGAGAGCAACATGTCCCCTGGAGCTAGAGTTTCAGGAAACTGCATGCCTCTCAATATGGGTGTTAGGATTAGGAACTGGCACCTTACAGTAGCAGCAAGCGCTTTTAACCTCTGAGGCATTCCTCAAAAATATCCCCCTTTGTCTCTTATGCGTTGATTTGGTTATTGATTCCCAGAGCTGAAGAGAATGAAAAAAATTATAATAACCCTTTTAATATAGATACGCCCATTACTCCCATCCCCCAGGTGTGCTTATCATAACACACAGTGATCTGTACCTGCAACAAGAGTCCCCAGTTCCACTGAATGCCTCACAAGCAGGTGGTCTGGCTGCTATTCAAGAGTTCAGAATAGCCTGCAGAATGGAGGTAGAGATTTCCCTGGAGACTGGATTTCACTCTTTTGTTTGAGTTTCTGAACACCAGGATCCTGGCTGTCAACCTGCTTACCCAGCAGGGCAGCACTCACAGCTTTTGCAGGAGACCCAGAATTGTCTGTGGCTCTCTGCTTACTTCCTAATGCTGTATGGCTTCTGCGTAGTTGCTGCATGTAATAAGAAGACTTTAAATAAGATGGCACTATAAATAATAATAGAATTTACCTTTTCACGTATTTCATATCTGCATTACCATGGTTTCTAAAAGCTACAGCAATCCTAGTAACAACTGCGGATTTCTCCATCACCTTAGAACTCAACAATTTAACTTATAACCTGAAAGTAAACAAACCCTCATCAGCTTCTACCTTCTCTACATCACTAGGATATTTGCCATCGACCGCCCTTCGTCTAGTATCCCTATAAAATCCTTAACAATGAGCTTTAATACAGCCCTAAATATTCTTGATCTTACATAACTTGAAAAAGTCATCCCCAAAATTAGGCATCTTACATGACATCATCAATAATTTTGCTGCATTGATGTGACCTATCATAATGTTACTAATCATGCAAAAAACCAACAGTAAATTGACTTAATAATTTCATGCTAAAAATCCTCTTTTAATGACAGTCCACACTCTATGTGGTCTTTATATTTGTTTATATTTTAAAATATTTACATCAGAAGGCAAGCATCTTAGTTTGTTTTCAAAGTTTTCTATATGTGACAGAATGCACTGGCTCCTCTGAGAACTCTCTGAAGGGACACACAAATAACTGTGGGGTGTTTTCATGGGCACTGGGCATGGAGTTGTTGTGTAGAGATTGTGTTTAAGACTGTCCAAAACTCTCACTTTTCCAGCATCCTGTTAGATTCTCTCCTCTGTGAACTTCACATTGAATGGGCTTTTGAAGAGAACCTTCTCACCTGGCCAGTCAAGCCCCCTCTATCTTCCTACTAATTGGTCCAGGAACAGTCAAGTAGTCAGTTTTGGTCATTGAGATATGAGGAAAAATCCCTCTACCTTCTCCTTTCTTCAGTCACTGGAGAGACCCTTGACCCCTCTAGGATCTGTGGGGGATACAGTTTGAAGAGCCATGAGGAGTTGCCTGGGAAGATTGCTGAGTGCAGCGGAGAAGCCCTTATTTGAAAGGGAATTTGTTTATGTTGGTACATAATTCTTCTTTGAATTTTACACCACATACTAACTATATAAAATAAATGGGTTTTTCCTGAGGAGATGCAGCATACACAATAGCTCATCCTCCTTGGGAAACCTACAAGAGATCAAAGTAACAATTGCACCCAAGTTCAACTTGGTAAGCCAGTGAATTCATTGGGCTTTCTTACAGGGGCTGTGGGCAGTTACTGACAGGATCAGAGAAAAGCCCACCCCACACAGGCAGTGAGCTTGCAGGCTCCTCCATGGGGTCTGAGAAACTCCCAATGGCAGTTTTGCTGGCCAGAGTTCCCCCTAGCTCTTGTTCGTGGCTTCTATATCTTGAGATATCTTCTATATCTCATGAACTTTGCAAGTTTCAGCTTTCCCTAGACATGAGATATTTGTTTGCTCCCTGAGTCTCCTGAGTACCCCCACTCTGTTCTTGGAGGCAATGGTTCAATGGAAGAGGCTGCTACACAAAGCCTTCTAATTATATTCACTTTCCCTCGTGCTTGATCCTTCCTTTTTCCAAACAGTACCCCCTCCTCCTGCCATGTCTTTCTTGTTGTTGTTGCTGCTGTTGTTTTGTTTTGTTTTTTCTCAATTCCATAGTTTTTGTTTGAGGGAAACCATAGTTTTTGTGATCTGAGTCTGACCTATTTAACTTAACACAATGATCCCTAGTTTCCTACACATCATCTCTGTCTGACAAAACCTTGAGGCATATCTCACTCTGGATGCTCTGGAACTATTATCCAAACATGTTCTGTTCTATTGCTTTGTCAAATGTGAGTTAATTGTTTTACAACATTCATTTAGAAGCATTCTAACAGTCTACATGATCTGTGTCCGTCACAGGTCTTTAACAGAGATGGAGAAGGCTGATTGGCCATTCTAACATGCTAGAGGAATTTGTGTCTGCATACATCATCTCTGTACCGACAGTACTATTCTAAGCTTGTGAAAACCCTACAAATTCTGAATAAATGACAGATATGAGATAGCTGATCAATGAGTCATATTGACTTGTCTCACTTTTAACACAAGTCTGGAACCAGTACAATCATAGAACTTATTTGTAGGTTCCTATGGTTTAAAGCCAATAATCATTAAATACGTAACATGTTCCTTGACTTATGATTATATTTTCTCAATAAAGTCAAAGAAAGGAGAAAACATCATAAAGTGTGTGTGTGTGTGTGTGTGTGTGTGTGTGTGTGTGTGTGTAATTTGTACTGCAACACTGGACTGACAAATGTTGGCTGTTTACTTTCATTACGGTCTGGTTGTCTGCAGTAAATTTTATAGTCACCTAACTTCATAAAAAGAGTATAGTGGCTGGGTGTAATGAAGGCTGTATTCTCATCAATTGGGGGCTGGAGAGAGGAGGAGCAGAAGGTCAAGACCAGAGTTGGCTACATAGTAAGTTTGAAGCCAACCTTGGTTACATGAGACATTACCTCAAAAACTATTATATAGATGATAGATAGATAGATAGATAGATAGATAGATAGATAGATAGATAGATAGATCCCTCATTGTCCAGTTACAAACTAAAATCAAAATTTGAGGTATGGTATCAACTTAATACAGATCCATTTCCTACCACTACAAAACCTAAAAATTTTTCATCACCGTGAGAGGTATTACCTACAAAGCAATATCTTTTTGTGACAAATGCTGCTAAGTGTCCTTGTCAGGGAATCAGGGAACTCAGTCCTCTTCCTAAAGCATTTTTGTTGTTGTTGTTGTTGTTTGTTTTCTGAAACTGTTTGTAAGTATTCTAGACACACAGTGTGCTCAATGGGATGAGGAAAATTATCAAGATAACTTTAAGTTTTAAACCTAATTTCCCAGAATTTATGTCTTTTAATCAAGCACACTCAACCTTCTGTGGTTGAACCAGGTTTCTGAACCCTGTCTCCCCAGGTCGCTCAGGTAACTCTGGTTGGTTGCTGTTTGGGGAAAACTCATTCATTGATCAGCATGGCCATTAATTCTCTGAGGACTGCCCAGTAACCACATCAAATCCCCTTGTCCAGAGCTGTTAGCCTATTGAATAGGGCTGCTATAGCAGCCAATCAAAACCTACAGGTCCAAACAAGGGCACTGGGAGAGAATTCACTCTGTTCTGCAGGAGACTCCTGGTGCTCTGGGTAGCTATAGTCACTTCACCAAAGAGGAAACAACAGCAGTGAAGGAAGCTCTGGCTCAGCAGCCAGAGACACACGGAGATGGGAAATCACAGAAATGAGGAGTTCTCAGACACTGTAAGTTTAGGGATATTTGTGTATTTAACAACAGATATTAATTCATGGGACCCTGTGAGTACATTTTAGGCATGACTCTGGGTTCCATGTTTATAACAGCTAGGAAGGAATTACTGTTTATGCTTCTGGTCTTTCCTGGCAACAGTTTTATACACACACACACACACACACACACACACACACACACACACACATACCAGGGCATGCTTGTACACATGCATATGATCACATTGCAAACTTTGGTTAGGTTCTTCTCACAGCATAAATCCCTCTCAGCTCTCTCTTGGTTTACATTTGAACTCTGTCATCACAGTCCAGTGGCAGATGTGAATAGGCACATGTCTCTTGGTATCTGTCTCAAGCACTCCCATGTCTCAGGTGCCACTCGGAGTCTCAATAGCTCCACAGACATGAGACTTTAACTATCACCACCCCAGTTTCCTCCCTCTGGACACATGTCATTCAAGCTGTGATTTTTCTGTTGTTATTTTCCCCAAATGTTCAAATTATATTGTCCCTTTGAGCAAAATTTGCCTATCGTTTATCCCATGCATATTTTATTAATGGCATTTGCTATCACAATGCAGAGCTCTTCTCTGGTGTTTATGTAATTTCTCCACTTGCCTTTTCTCCTCTTAAGCCCAACTTTTCCAGCAGATAACTTCAAACAACAGTTTCCTAGGAGACAGACATTGTCTCTGAAGGTTAGCCACTCCCTCCTTCCTTCGGTGACCCCACTACAACCCAAGCATAGCTCCACAGTGATACAACTGCACATCACCATGCCTAGTAATTTTATGTAGGCTCTGGGGATCAAAGCCACTGTCTCACACTTGCCTGGCAAGTAGTTTACCTACTGAGCCATCCCAAAGCCAAGCATACTCACCTTCATTCCCTCAACACTCAGTGTAGAATTGACACAGAGTGCGCCCCTGACTGATGCCTGAAGAAATGAAGGCAAGGATAAGGGACAAAGCCTTTGTGCTTCTACTTACCAGAGGAAATACCTGCCCACAGGAAGGCACTGTCAGCCCATCAGCACTCCCCAGATCTGAACCTAAGGAAGACTATTACCGTCCATGACTCTAATGAGGACATAAAACTCGAGTGTGGAAATAAGCAACAAGAGCAAGGCATCCAGACTTCTTACGGGCCTCACCATCCCCAGTCTCATCTACTCACCTATGAGACACATCGAACCCCTCTCTGACATTTTTCTGGATCAGAGTTCTGTGGTTTTCATGGGAGGACAGTTTTGCCTCCAGGGAGCATTCACTAGAGACAGCGTTAATTGTCACAACCTGGGGGTGGAGGGTGAGGGGAGGTCTGTTTGACACCAGCACTTGGCTAACAGACGTCTGAGATGCTGATAAGCACACGTGATGGGTAGCACAGTCCCTGCACATCATGGAGAACAATCATCCCTCACACATCAGGTTGAGGAGCTCTGGATTGCTTCACTCACTGCTAGTAACAAAAAGCCAACATAAGGTCTGTACCAGCCTGGGTCCAGGCAGATATCCTGGATTTACCTGAGCTTGTCCTGACTCTGACTTCCTCCAAACCCATTGTGCTAATCCTGAAATGGATGCCCCATCATGACTCCTAGACCACTGTGAACTGTGGTCACCTGTTAGGAAAAAACTTAGCATTCACACAGGGGATCCTTGGTTTACAGAGAACAGCTTATGCAGGACTGTGAGCAGGACCATTTTCCTGTTTAATAGCTCAGTGTTCTCCAGCCTGTAAACATCCAGAGCCTCGGACTCATGCTGTGAAGATGGAGGGACTGTCACTCACATCCCA